TCTATCTATCTATCTATCTATCTATCTATCTATCTATCATCTATCTATCTATCTCTTTTACACGGCTGCTCAAGATGACTCCAGCCAGCACACAGTAAAACCAATGACTTCCATATTTTACGAAACCAATTAAACCAATCCGGTTAATGATTAAAGCAAAAGTCACAGTTTTCTGTTTGCTTTATCGTTTTAATAGGTTAGTGGGTCAGCTCGTGACGCTCGGATGCTCAGGGCAGCTTGCTCCCTGAGCACATAATAATAACTTGGTGCAGGCCACTGAGAGTCGCTTTGGCTAGCAAAGTGGGCAGCACAGAAATCTAATAAATAATTCCAGTTACCGTCACCGGCCAGGAGTTTTGCTCCGGTTGTCATTTGGCGGAGTTCAGCGTCCTTTGGGTTTTTCCTTTGCAGATTGGTGCGTCGCTCTTTGCCAGCAGCGAAGGAGCCGGACTCTTCATCGGGTTGGCCAGCAGCGGAGCGGCCGGAGGAGTCGCCGTGGCCGGCTTTGAGTGGAACGTAAGGGGCTCAACTCTGCTCAGCTCTGCCCGGACCCGGGTTCAAGCAGCCGTCCCCCTTCGGAGTGTCCCCAGGGAGGGTGGGTTGGGGTCGTCCCCCCGCCTGCATGGCCAGCAAAGAGGGTGGGCCTGGCTGAGGCTGGCCCCCCTCCTGCTGACGGTCTCTGTCTGGGTTCTTGGCCCCTTTTAGGCCACCTACGTGCTTCTGGCCTTGGCCTGGCTCTTTGTTCCCGTCTACCTTTCGTCAGAGGTGAGTGCCCCGCCCTTCCCTCCTGGCGCTGCCTGCGAGGGTCTCCTTGGGGCTCGCTCTTCCCCCATTGAGCTCAATCTTGGCTTGCTGAGCCAGAGTCTGACAGGGAAGCCACCTTCGATGGGTGGATGCAGCCGCTGCTTTGCAGATCCTGAGGGGCAGCTTCACCGGACATGGAAACTCCGCAACCAACCAAACCTTCCCAGTGGTGGGTCGATCTGGTGTTAGGCTGTCCATCCAAAGCTCTTCATCCTTTAGCTCCATCCTCCTCTTCCTCGTGGTTTCCCATCGTCCCCTCCAACCTGCCCCTTTGGTTTCCTTCAGGCTGGCCGGAGACTGACCCTTCCTCTCTTCCCCCAGATCGTCACCATGCCGGAGTATCTCCAGAGGCGCTTTGGAGGGGAGCGAATTCGAGTCTGCCTCTCCTTCTTGTCACTCCTGCTCTCCATCTTCACCAAGATATCTGTGAGTGGCCCCCTTTCCTCTGCATCTCCAGGCTAAGCCCCCTTTTTTGAGCCTGGCTGGGATGGTGATAGTGGGCAGCCTGTGGGTCCAACTGGAGTTAAAGCATTTCAAATTATAGACCTTCCTTCCTTCCTTCCTTCCTTCCTTCCTTCCTTCCTTCCTTCCTTCCCTTTTCTTCCTTCCTTCCTTCCTTTCTCTTTCTTTCTCTCTCTCTTCCTCTCTCCCTTCATCCTATCCTCTCTCTAATTTTTCTTTCCTTTCTTTTTTCCTCGCTCCCTCCCTCCCTCCGGCAATGCACAGCAAGCAACCTTAATTGGTTTAATCAGTTAATTTGTCTGATCCTTAATTGGCTTCTTCAAATGGCCTTTGAACCCTTGGAGGGGAGGGGAGCCCCTTGGTCGAAGACCTCACACCCACCTTGTCCTCCCTGCAGGGACTCCTAGGGCTGCACTCAGGCCTTTGTCCAGTGGGGGGCACTGTTGGCCATCCCATTGTTTTTACACTGGTGGGTTTTCTGGCTGGACTGGGAGGATGGGCCATTGGGAGGTTGAAAGCCCAACAGGTTTGGGTTGGGCCGGTGTAGCCAAACCCTCCGATTCATCCAGAAAGACTCTTTCCACGGAAAAGGGTGATTTAAAAAGAA